AATAATAATAAAGATAATTGTATAAGTATATAGCTTGTCTCTTTAAACCTCATGCAATATAAATATGACAACTTTATATAGAAATATATTTTACTGGGGTTTTGGAAAGAAATTAGTACCAGTGTTAGTATAAATATTGGATAATAGCAGAGAGTTAGAGGAAAGGAGAAGTCACTTATTGTTATTAATGTTTTTTTTTCTTTTTAGAAAATATGGTTGGTGTGGTTTTTGTTGTTGCATGTATGATAATATTTATTGTTACATCTTCCTTCTAATTTTATTTGTATTGCATTGTGTGGTATATACATCTGTACATATTGGGAGACTGTAAGTGTTGTGAAATAAAATGTAAAAGAAAAAAGACTTGGTATTTTTGTTGCTGTTGTTGTGTAACTGTAGCTAATGCTTAAGACACCAGGCTTTGCATCAAAAATAAAGCTCAACAGGACCTGGTCTTATGATAGCAACAGGGGTCACCCGCAGGTCTCAGATTTTGGCCCCGAAACTTCAGGGTTTAGGATAATCCTGACCTGGCAACCTTATCTCCTCTACGTTTTCTTACATCTCTGCAAATAAATAGGTGAACGACATAATGAAGGCATGGAAAGAGTCTGGAATGTGCCTGGGAAGGCTAGGGTCCTACTAGAGTCTCCCTGAGGGTAATGTTTCTGAATGGAAAGCAGAGTGGCTGGTTTGCAATGTCCAAGCCTAGAAATTGGCAGGAGAGCGTGGGAAAGTTGGGAGAATACCAAAGTGTTGGAAAGAAGGATGCAGGAGATACACAAGAGAAGCTATTTACAAGCAGGACAAACCCTGCTACGTGCCATTCGCCCTCTTTGCTCTTCTCTGTCCAACCATTCCTGTATACGGAAGCAAAATATTTGTAACTCTTAGGAGTTTATCACACGGGACAAATCCAGTGCCGAAACTAGATTTAAAGTTTTTGCGGGTTGTTTTTCACATGACGTTCGCGGTTAACCCAAACAGAAAGTAGGCAAAACCCGCAACTGTAGGTTGTTTTTCAGACGACGTTTGCATGAAAGAGAAATAACATGAAAAGAACCCTAATGGAAAGCCGACAAAACCCGCTCCTTTTTTGTTACTTTTGGGAATTTCTGAAAGTAAAAAAGGAGCGGGTTTTGGCGACTTTCTGTTCAGGTTAATGTCACATTATTTCTCCTTTACACAAACACGTCTGAAAAACAACCCGCTTTTGCCAGGTTTTTTCGGATTTTTAAATCCCATTTCTCCACGGGATTTAAGCAATTTGCCTCTGTGTGATAAATTCCTTAGTTGACATATCTACAAGCTGGAGGGTGGGTAGTTGGCAAGGCCAGCCTGCAGCAAAGAAGATGTTGCTTTTTTCATCCCTTTAAAAAAAACCTAACTGGACGATAGTTGAATTTTTTTTTTTCAACAATGGCTATGGGACAATGTGCAACAGCACACCTGGAATAGCTTAGTTTGTGGCAGCAGCGCAGGCTACTGACATATCCTCCAACATTTCTTGGATGAAAACTCCAGTTTAAGTAGCCAAGCAACACCAGAGTGTGGTCAACATTACAAAGGGTATGAATGCGAAGGAAGAGATAAGGTAGGCTGAGGATTGCTTTTGTGTGAGCCTCCTGGGAAGGGCAAGCTTCAACCCCTTCCTCACTTCTTCCCCTCTTCTCTGAGTTGAGTTCAAAATTATTTTGCATTTTGAACCCAGTTTGTTGTAACAAGTAAGCTGAGGACAAAGGGGGAAAGTGGGAGGAGGAGGGGAGGAACTGGGACATTTTAAAAGCAATGGAAAAAGTGGGATAGCAGAGGATTAACTGGGCCTGTCCCTGTGAAATCAGGACATTTGGAAGGTATGCCCTTAGCACACAGCTCTTTCTTCTGAAACCTTGCTGCTCCTTTGCAGCATCTGTTGCATGAGTTTGTAAAGGAATTGCACTAGCTGCTGACATTCATCTATAGTCAGCCTTTCATATCCACGGATATTTTATCCATGGATTCAAGCATCCACGAAATTCCAAAAAGCAAACCTTGATTTTGCCATTTTATATGAGGAGACACTATTTTACTATGCCATTGTATATAATGGGATTTGTGCATCCACAGATTTTGGTGTCCTGAGGGGTCCTGGAACCAAACTTCAGCAGATACCAAGAGCTCACTGCAAAGAGTACCTATTCCACCCCATTCCTTCTCCCTTTGTTTCTTGGTTTGCAGAAAGTGAACTTTTGGATGGGGAATAGACATCAGTTTTTCTTCAGTTCAGCACTTATTATTTAGGTCACTTTTAATCTGCTCTTCAATCCTGTCAGATTCCCAAAATGGAGAAATGAAAGATTTTAAGTATGCAAATAAATGACATAATAGACATTGAGATTGTGCATAGAAGATGGGATCAACCTTCACCATGCCTCTGGATCAGAGTTTGAATATTTTTTTCCAAATCACTCCAAGAAGTCCTTTTATGAGAAATGAACAACACGGCTGATCAACAGCAATGCCGAGAGAACTGAACTGAACTGCCTTTGAAGTCTCTAAGAATATGCCCCCTTCCCTCTTTCTGTCATGTATGTACAGGCAAACACACACACACTCACGCACTTGACAAAACTGATGGAGCACCAGCCTTTATTTTCCTGAGAAGAATAGCAGTGAAATCCTTTGTGGGTCTGCTTATAAGTCTGTCTCGTTGTGTTCCCCTCAGAACTATTTGTGTAGGATTAGAGCCTAAACCTGTGGCTTTCTAGTGGTTACAGGACTACAGGTCCTATCATCCCTCACTAATGGTTATGATGGCTAGAGTTGATGGAAGCTGCCATGCAGCGGCATTCAGTGAAACATACTTTCCCCTTCGCTGGCCTAACTTTTTAAACGACACGATTTCTATCTCTGAAATGAAGACACTCTGCATACCTACAATTTTAAAGGGGGAAAAAGTCCAAATATGGAAGCAGACATATGGATCCATTCATTCCCTCTCTCTCTTTCCTCCCCCCAACTCTCACTTTCACCAGAGCTTTTTGGCATTTTAAATTGTGTGTGTGTGTGTGTGTGTGTGTGTGTATACCTTCAAGTCATTTCCAACGTATGGCAATCCTAAGATGTACCTATCATGGCCGTTTCTTGGCCAGATTTGTTCGGAGGAGGGTTGTCATAGCCTTCCCCTGAGGCTGAGAGTGTGTGACTTGCCCAAGGTCACTCAGAGCAGATGATAGATTGTGGACTCACACCCACTTCTTTAGCTGCCCTCCACTAGCAGGATCACAGTAGAGGTACAACGACAGGAGAGAGGAACGAAAAAGAAACAGTGGTGCCCAAAGAGTATGAAAGAAATGAGGGCCAGTCTGTGACATTTCTGTGCAAATGCGTAGAAGATAAGTACATTGGATACATCAAAGAGTCTTTTTTTCTTAGCTGGAAGACACTGTAGCTAATAGCAAACAATAGCAAGTACATTTCTGTAGCAATAACTAATTCCTGAGCAGCACAGAATTTGCCTCTTCCAGGGATTGTCCCATGACCCATCAGCCTCCAGCAGGGTGACCAGATGTCCTAACCACAAAGGAGGACAAGGCAGTATAAAATGTACGACATTCAAGAACAATGTAGGCCACCGCAAAATAAAAGCCAAAAGTGCTAACATAAATATACGTTCACGCTTCTTTCAGTCATGCTCAGAATGAAGGACATTTTGGAATTCCTGCTGGACAGAAGGTTGAAATGTAGGACACGTCCTGGAGAAGGAGGAGGTCTGTTCACCCTGACCTCCAGTCTTGCTTTCTCTGGAATGCTGCAAAGCAGAACTCAGAATCTATCTGGCCGTGATGATGAGCATGGAACCCATGCTTCATCTGTGATGCTGAGTGCACAGAATGCATTGGGATCCTTGCAGGAGAAGTCCATTCCCAAGCATGTGCCCCACCTCTTCTCTTGTCGCTGGTGTGTGAGAGAGTGCACACAGATCAACGAAAAGGCACTTGTGGCTGTGGTGTGGCTGTAATGACTGACAGCCCTACAGTCACACCCACCTCTCCCAAGATTATATAAAATGAATGAGCATCCCCCCCACACACCCAACAGTTAGGACTTCCCAGCTCAGGCAACTTCTGTTTCTCACCATTTTCCCTCTGAACTAGCAGGCAAGTGGCAGACCAATGGTGAGGACTACCCTGATGGCGAGGAACACCGACATGCGCTGGCGCCTGCCACTGGTTTGCCTCCTCTGGGAGGTGGCCATGATTGTCCTCTTTGGCATCTTTGTGCGCTTCAACCCTGAAGCTGATGCAGCTGGGTGGCAGAAGGAGAAGCATCACAAGAACATCACCAGTGATGTTGAGAATGACTTCTATTTCAGATACCCATGTGAGTAATAAAAGGATACTCAGCACAGGTCAAGTGTTTTGTTCGTTCGCTGCATTTATAGCTCACCTGCTGTCCAAGCAACTCAGGGTGGTGTGTATGTATGTATGTGTGTGTGTGTATATATATATATATATGTGTGTGTATATGTATATGTATATGTATATATATATATATATGTGTGTGTGTGTGTGTGTGTGTATGGGCAAGCCAGGAGTAGGGAGGGTGTGGTCCTTCTCTGGGTATTGTTGGACTCCAACTATTATGCTCCCTATTTATGGTAGCCAATGGTGAGGGATGATGGGAGCTACAATACCAGCAACAGCCATGCCTGCTGTGTAGCTTAGATTATTGCCGTGGGTGCTAAGAAACACCCAAGAGGAGCAAGAAAGGGAATAACTGGGAATCAAGATCCAAGGCAGATGAGATAGGGAGCCATGGAATGGTTTCACCCTGCAGATGAGAATGTTCCCTGCACTTTGTTGTTGTGTGCCTTCAAGTTGTTTTTGACTGCTGGCTATCTGAAGGTGAACTCTATCATAGGGTTTTCTTGTTAAGTTTCTTCAGGGTGTGTGTGTGTCATTGCCATCCTCTGAGGCTGAGAGAGTGTGACTTGCCCAAGGTCACCCAGTGGGTGTACGTGGCCGAGCCAGGATTTGAACCTTGGTCTTCTGGTGTCTTAGTCCAACACTCAGACCGTTACACCACACCGGCCCTCAGTCTCTGCACTAGTGCAGCTCAATCAATTTAGGCTCTGTACTAAATACTATAGATGGATTCTCCATCAATAGCATACCCTCCAATTGTCACAATTTGCAGGGACAGTGCTGATTAATCCTCTGTCTTCCCACTTTTTCAGCTGCTTTTAAAAAGTCCCAGTTTCTCTCTCCTCCTCCAATTCCCTTGTCTTCGTCCTCCCCTGACTTCAACTGCTGCAAACTGAGGGCCTAAGCAGACCGGCCAAAAGGGCCAGCCTGGAGGTGGAGTTGGGGCAGGGCAATCGCATGCCAGCCACCCTGATGCCACTGCCATGCTGCGCGCCCAACCGCATGGCGCGTGGTGTCAGGGCACCCTGTTTGCACAGCGTGTAGACATGCTGCGCCAAAGGGACGCAAAACAGCCACAGAGGCAGCGCTAAGGGAGGATTTCTGCCACCCCAAAAAGGAGCAGCATTTGCAAAAAGCTGGATCGGGGCCATGGCGTGTGGTTGGCACAGCCCCAATTTGGCACTCCTAGATTAAATGAGTAAAATAGCTTAAAACAATAAAACAGTAAAATTAAACAGTAAACAGTAAAACAGTAGAATAAAACAGTAAAATGCCCCTGAGTTCAAAGTGCAAAACCAGGAGAGGAAGAGGCAGAATCTTGTCCTTTAGGTAGGTTCAAGCAAAAGCAAACTGCTGCATCCTCTTCTGACTTGCCTGTTCTTCCTCCTAAATAACTTATGCCATTTTAAATCCTCCCTGATGTTGCTTTTCACCTATGTCCCAGCTTTTATCTGTTGATGAAATACTCTTGCAGCACATTTATCCATCTGCACTTAATCCCCTGCTCTTTAGAGAGTATTACTTTGCTTACTCTAAAATGTGCTAAACTAGTCTTTGGGGACTTGCTATTCACTCTACTGAGCTTGGCCCTAGGATGCCTCCTCTAAGCCCTTTCCTAGTAGTAACACTCATAATCTATGCTGTGGCCAGATTAGTGCCCCCAATAGTCTTCATGCTACAAGAGCGAAGGGGGAAATGTCTAAAGAATTTGGCATCAAATGCATTTGATGGTACCTTGAGATCAACACTTTAATAGCTCTTGTAGAGTGGTTTAGGATTTTGGATATGGCAACCTACTTCATCGTACTTGGGGCTAGAGCGGGGAAAGTACCATAAGGCTGAAATAATCACTTTTGAAAACTAGAAAGAGGAAACATGTTAAAGTTCTGGAAAGGCCAGTAACTATCAAGATAGCATTTGTGTGTGTCGTGTGCCTTCAAGTCTCCGCTAGACAAAAGGCAGCCTGAATGCTCACAATGCAGGCATAAGAACAAGAACCAGCGGTGCAGCAAAGTGAAGGCTCACAAAACCAAAGCATGGACTTTTGCATCAGCAGAGATGGTGCCGTCATCTCATTTTTTTTCCCCCTTCACAGTTTTGCTGCAATGCAATTCACACCGAAGAAAGGCTGTGGGGGAATTTTTGTTATTACTTCCTTCTGTTATTTGTTGTCACTGTCGTTTCTACTGACAAAACAGCTAGCATTTTGTAAGTACTATGGAACAAAAGTCCTTGAAACGTTACTTTTTTGGACTGCAACTCCTACAGTCCTGCAGCCAGCATGGCCAAAGACATTGCTACCTGGTGGATTGAGGGAACTGCAGTCCAAAAAAGGAACTTCTTTAGCCTCTGCTGGGGAGTGACTGATAAAGGGGGAAAAAGATAGTCCCCACCTGCAGATTCATAAAAGCAGTGAGAAGAAAAGAAATAAGTTGGATCTTCACTGGATCAGCAAATAGGGCTACTCAGGTCTGGCCCTTAGCATGATGTTCTTCTTGAGTGGCACAAAGTGCAAGCAATCGTAGCCCTAGATGTTCTCTCCTGGGCAGAAAACAAGTGTCTGCAGTCATGTAGCATTTTCATAAAATACAAAGAAACCATAGCTAAGGTTTCATATGAGTTAGTATTCAGCTATATCATGCTCCACACATTCACCTACCCTCCAACTGTCAGATTTGGCAGGGATTGTCCCAATGAGATCTGATGTTTGAGCTCTGCGGACCAGGGTTTGAATCCCGGCTCAGCTGTGTAAACCCACTGGGCAACCTTGGGCAAGTCACACTCGCTGACCCTCAGAGGAAAGCAATGACAAACCCCCTCTGAAGAAACTTGCCAAGAAAACCCCATGATAGGGTCACCTTAGAGTCGCCAGAAGTTGGAAACAACTTGGAGGCACACGACAACAAAATCTCAGCTAATCCTCTGTCTTCACACTTTTTCCAGGTGTTTCAAAAATATCCCAGTTTCTCTTTTCTCCTCTCTCTTTCCCTCTTTGTCCTCTGCTTCCTGCAAACGGTTCCTGCAAACTGAACTCAAAGTGCAAAAAGAGTTTGCTTTGCACTCAGTTAACTCAACTGGGGAGAAAGTACAGGAGGGGGCAGAATCCTGCTCTTCTTGGTAGGCTCAGGCAAAAGCAAATGGAATCAGTCTTTCTTGGCTTGTGCGTTCTTCCTTATTAATAACTGTTGCCACCTTGAGTGCACTCTGATGTTGCTTAACCACATATGTCCTGGTTTTTGAAATGTTGGAAGGCATGCATTCATAACTGATTTGACTTTCCCAAGAATGTCATTCTGAGGTCTGAATTCCTGGGTCAAGGGAAATTAAAAGATATTGTCACCTTGTTTCTTGGTGCTCATAAAATGATGGCATGATAAATTTTGAAATGCAAGTACACCGCATAACCACCCACCCCTCAAAAGGTCCAAAAATGGAGGCAGCTCTTCTCCCTCTTTCTTCCTCTTAACTTTTTATTTCGGATTTATTACACAATAGTACAAAAACCTCCCAACTAATCCTCCCCCTCAGTTCATGTTTACACAGTAAATAGTCTATGCAAGCACAAAATGTTAGCTTTTAATCTACAACTACCCACCAAGATCTCTAGAGAGCTAGTGTGGTGTAGTGGTTTGAGCGTTGTACCAAAGTTTGAAACTCAGATCAGCATGTAAACCCACTGGGTGACCTTGGACAAGTCACACTCTCTCAGCATCGGGGATGGCAATGGCAAACCTCTTCTGCAAAAACTTGCCAAGAAAACCCCATGAAAACCTGGGGACCGCCAAAAGTCATAAACAATTTGAAGGCACAGGACAACAAAAGATATTTCAGCCTTTGCAGCACCAATCAAATCAGGACTTCAAATTGGCATCATCACTATCAAAAATTGAAAAAATTACGATAGTAACGTTTCACTAAAAGTAGCATTTTATTTCATTATTTAACTTTATAATTTCATCCCAAAATGGAAGTACTTTGGAGAAGAGATCCACATATGTTCTAGGGTGGCAATTTTTGCCACAAACTCTCCAACATTTATTTGATGTGGAAGGAATAAATTTGGAGTTTAAATACTGTAAGATACCATCTCTGAGCAGATTGGTGATATTTTATTTTACAAATAGTGACTTTTGCAGAGGTGAATGAAGTATGTCTGCCTAGATCAGGTGTAGGCAACCTTTCCCCTTTAAGGGCCGAGGGACTTCAGCTCCCAGAATCCCAGGAGCTATTGGCCAACATGGGACTATTGGCCAAGATGGCTGAGGCTTCTGGGAGCTGAAGTCCCTCGGCCGTTAAAGGGGAAAGGTTGCCTACCCCTGGCCTAGATAGCTGTACTGCAGAGCAGGAAAGTTACTTTTGGGGACTAGTTCACCCAAGCAGCATGGCCTCTGATCATCCTGATTGTTGGATACTGGGACTTGGAGTCCAAAGGGTAACTTTTCCAAGGTCTGGTTGTTATTGGGAAAAGCTATCCCTTATTCCATCCCTGCTTTTGTGTGGACTGCATTGTTGTTAAGCTGCAATGAAGTGTGTGGGGGAAAGGATGATATCATCCTGCTGATCAAAGCATCCCTGGTGCTTTGACCCTGTAAGCCCTGGCTCCAGTATGCCACTGGCACTTCCTGTTTTTGTCTGCTTTTCCATCATTCATTCTTTTCATTTGGCCCATTGCAATGTAAATTGTATCTTGATATAGTTATTAGTTACAATTGCTCAAAGAGAACAAAGGCCTCAGGCTCCTGAAATGTGTGGCCTCAGCAGTGATTGAGGCTTTGATCAGCAGTAATACCGCCAACACATTGATTGATATGAAAGTATGATATAGAGTTGAGGTTTCATACAATTGGAAGGGCGATCCAGTCCATTCCTTGCCAAGCTACATAATAAAGAGCTGGACACATTTGTCTAGTATAGAGCTTGGAAAACTTACTGTTCTAGTCTGCAGCTTCCAGAATGCCCTAATCAACATGGAACCCTGGCTGCAAAACTTGGGGTTGTAGTTTCCAATGTAACCCTTCTGAGTTCTGATCCACAGACTGAGGGGCGATGCAGACAGACCTTTGGGGTGGATCAGGGCCACAGCAACCACACGCCGCAGCCCCGATCCTCCTTTTTTGTGCCCTTTTGGTGCAGCGTGTGCACATGAAAGAGGGCGCCCTGATGCTGTGTGCTGTGCAAATGCGCATGCGACATTGGTGCGGAGTCGAGGTGGAGACAAGGCAGCTGGCATGCGGTTTCCTCACCCCAACTCCATCCCCAAGACAGCCTATAGCAGTGATCCCCAACCTTTTTATTGCCGTGGACCAGTCAATGTTTGATAATTTTTCCACAGCCCATGGGGGGGCGGGGGGGGGGGGGGCGGTTGCGGCATCGCATAAAATATGCTGCACAGAAGACGCAGTAGCAGGGCGGCCCGGTAACATTTGTTCTGCGGACCGGTACCGGGCCGCGGACTGGGGGTTGGGGACCACTGGCCTATAGTACCGGTCTGCACTGGCCCTAGCTTAGGATGTAGAGCAGGGGTAGGCAACCTTTCCCCTTTAAGGGCCAAGGGACTTCAGCTCCCAGAATCCCAGGAGCTATTGGCCAACATGGGACTATTGGCCAACATGGCTGAGGCTTCTGGAGCTGAAGTCCCTCGGCCCTTAAAGGGGAAAGGTTGCCTACC